CCATAAAATTGTTTTAGAGCATGTTTTCCTTGCTCCGAGCGAATGTTCTTAATGTTATTAGTTCTTCCTCCATATATCTCAAAACTTGAATAAAAGAATTAAAAATATCTAAAAAAAAAAGAATTATACTAATTAATCAAACAAAATTAGAATAATAATTTTTTGAAAAAAATAAGACTCTAAAGCACAAAATATGCTACATAATTGAGTAAATTAGATTAAAGATATTGAGATTGTTTAAATAAAATTGTAAACATGTAGAATTATTTTAAAATGATACTAATCAATATATATGTTAAGCAAGTGATCTGATCAATAACTTGAGAAAAGTGAATTAAGTTATTTAATATTTAAAAATACTACACTTTCAAAACCTTTAACCGTGAAAAATAAATTAGAGAATGATAAGAAGAAGAAATTCAAATTAATTTTAATAAAAAAGTCAAAATGAAAGAAAGAAGTGCCAAAAAAAAGTACATCACACTATAATTTTATCATAATTTACCCTAAACTACGATATATATATATATATATATATATATACTTTAAGATTTAAAATTTAAGATTTAGAATAAATTCTAAACATATATATAGCTCCAAGTTATACTTGAAATTTTTTCACTAGAGTTTATAATTCAACAAACATTTCACAATTAAAGAATTATCTATGACAATCCATCCTAGGATGCTTTTCACCATCGCACTCTATTAATAAGTCACTAGGGAAAACCTATTTTAGAATATACTACTAGCAAACTCTCATTTGAGTGATAACTACAACCAGAACCACCAAGAAAATCCACCCTTCATTTCCAAAACAAAGTAAGTAAAAAGTTAATTCTTAGTAGCAAGAACATGTGAATTAATTAATCTAATTCTCACATTTGTAAATGCAAAATAGACATTATGCAAAAGTGAAAATAAGAATAATAAATAAAAGGACAAAATTTAGTTACATTTTTCTAGATGTAGTTGATGTTGTTCTTTAATAAAAAATGAGAGATATACCTTGATAATATACATTAATATATATTAACTAGATTAAATTAGGTATGTATTAAATATAAATATAATTATCAAGGTGTATCTCTAATTTTGATTAGAGAACAACACTGACTATACTTATAAAATTGTATGCATATTTTATCATAGAAGAATAATACCAAAATTTTTACGCAGAAAATCTTCTTAACGTATCAAAGAAAAACTACAATATTTAACCTAATAAACAATTTTCACTATGAAAGTAAGATTACAAATAGTCTCTTTTTCTCAACAAGATCACTTAAAAGAACCTCACCCCTTTCAAATAATTATCTTTCAATTCTCACCAAATGTGGTGAAAATAATTGTCTCTTTCTCTCAAAGAGGAGTACAAGAATTTTCTAATTCTAATTCTCTCTTTTTCAAAGAGGATTCTAGAATTGATAGGATGAAATCAACCTTTCTCTTTAGGTCTTGACCCCTTCTATATGGTGACACCTTCTAAGCGGCTAACTACTCTCATCACAATTCTCCTTATTTATAAAGATAACATGAAGTTTTATTCATGACTTTCTATTCATGACTTTTTGTTCATGATAAAAATTTTGGATTAATTTTTCAACAAAATGACACAAATTGAATATCAATATTTTGACTCACAAAACTCTAAGTATTGAAACAAAATAACTCAGTTTTTCTTTCTTTCTTTTATGTGTAACTTTTTCAATGACAAACTTTTTTTCTTTCTATAGGACTGGAAGATAGAAAACACGAAGCAATTCCTAAAGATATAAATATAATTTTATTCTTAAAAATATTTTTCTAATTTTTGAAATCACTTAGTTAAGAAAATAATCATTTGAAGACTATACTTATTAAAAATTATACAAGTTTAAGGGAATCAATTATTTTGTGAGGGAATCAATTCCTTCTGACGAGAATCAATTGCTTTTCAAGGAATCAATTTTCAATGAGAATTTCATGTTCAAAAATCATTTGTGTCACTTTTTATTTTATTTTTATTTTTGTTCCACTTTGTGAGAATCGATTTCATGCCAAAAGAGTCGAAGCTCATCAGGACCTAGAACAAGTTTTTCATAAAAAAAAAATATTTTTTTTAATCTTAAAATCATTTTTAAGCTTTCTCAAATTTTCTCGATGGACTAGACTTGATTAAAACTGATATGCACTTTATTCTTTTTGATCCAAATGTATCTATATCAAATCTTCGTTTTACTTTGACTTTGTCCATGTTTTGTTTTTGATTTATCTTCACTAAGGATCAGCAGACTTTTGGCTTTGTTTTGATCAAATCTCTTTGTGAGCCCTACGTGTATGACATACTTCAAAGATCATGTTTATTTAAGTTCTATTGCTTTAAAAAATGATTATAAACATTAATAACTAAAACATATTTTTAAAACATATTTAATTTTTAATAACACTCATTATTTTATTTAAAATATGTATTTGGACATTATGCTTAACGAGTATTTGATTTTTTTTTTGCTAATATTTAATTCATCAACTATTTTTTTTATTTGATAAAGACTATTTTGTTCTACATATCAAAATATGATAAATACAAAATAATCTACTTTTTAGACATTAAATTTGTTAATAAAGAGGCTTTTGATAAAATAATTTTTAATAAATGTTATTAATGTAATTTGTGATGTATTTAATAATTATGATAAATATATCTTTGTTATCCATAATAATTGAACTTACTACAAAAGAGTTTACAACAATTATATATTTTGTTGAAGCAACTGAATTATGCTACATATTTGCTAAATAAATGAAATTAATTGTGTATATTTTTTTTAACATTTTTTAAATTACCTGTATTAATTTAATAAATATAGTATTTAATATTATTGTGTAATTATTTCTTTTTTACAATGACGATAATTAGATTAGAATATTTTATGCATATTACTTAAACAACACTACTAGACCAACCTAATGTTTCTTTTCCAATAAATTTTGGTCATTCATGTGTAGATAAGTATTTAATAATTGTTTTATTTGGTAAAAAAATAATTGTTTATTAAATAATAACCTTTTTCTAAAAAAAAAAATACTTGCGTAAAAAGTCACATTTAAAGAATTATAGTGAAATGAAATAAATGAGTATAATATATGAAATTTTCTATCCCGTGTGTTAATATTTATACATGATGATAGAACAATAGAGATTTATTTGAATAAAACTATAATCTAAATAAATAATAGTTTACAAAAACATCTTTAATGATAGGATTCATAATTGTTTCAACATAAAAAAAAAGTTCTAAAATAAAATAAGGTAAAAGTAATGGAACTAAAGTCAAATAGTTATTTTACTCTTTGAGGTGCTTTCAACGTAACGAATAGATTAATCACTGTTATCAGCAATGGATATTCTAGAGACGAAAAAAAAAGTCAAATAATTATCATACTGCATTTAGAAAATCCAAAAAAACTAAAAAGTGTCATTATAAGTAAATGAAAATTCAAGAACGTAAAACCTCAAACTCCACTTATAAAACACTTTAAAACCTAAGTCTCATCGCTAAATATCATATCCGATAATTCTCACTTGCAAAACAAATATACAAAAACAAAAATAAATGTACAAGAATAATTATCAATCAAATAAGTTTTTGTTTCCTGCAGGTATCATATTTAATTACATCATGAGAGGCCAGAGAGGGTAATTTTTCTTACTATACTCACACTACTAGAAAAATGTCATTTTCTTACCATCTTTTTTACCAAAAAATATTTGCAAATTTTTTTTACGAATTTTCTTGCAATAATAATTTTACAAATTTCTTTTACGAATTTATTTGTAAAAATTAATTTATAGATATTTCTTACAAATTTTTTTTTATGAAAAATAGTCTATAATAAATTTTTGCAAATCTTGTTACAGTTTTAATGATGATAGAAATTTTTTTCCATGATAAAAATTTGCAGAAAATATTGTAAGAATTTTATTTTGTTTCTTGCAGATTTTCTTGTAAAAATAAATTCGCAAGTAATGTTTACTAAATGGTAGAAAAATTTTGCAGGTAACTTTTCCTACGAATTTTCCTACCAATTTTAATTCGTAAGAAAAATCAAAAAAATATTTAAATTTATAAGTTTAATATTTTAAAAAAAATTTCAAGTTTTTCCTGCGAATTTTTTTGGCAAGAAATTTCGCAGGAAACTTTCTTACGAATTAAAAACATATTATTCACGAAGGTATTATCTGCAGATAAAATTTCGCAGAAAAATTCGTAAGAATAATATTTGCTACGGATTTTAATACAAAATTCGCAGAAAAAATTACATGTAATAAGAGAAATTATAGTAACGTCAACTCTAATTGGTATTTTTTTCTGGAATAATTTACTAAAATAATATATTTTTATTTTTTTATATAAACAAGATTTTACTATATATGTTAAAAAATTATGAACCTTAAAAGCTATTTTAAAAATTCACAAAATTTTAACACAAATTACAAAGTTATAAAAAATGTTGATTAACTATTTGTTTATTTGACCAATTAATGGTTCAGACCACATGATTTGACCATTTACAGACCAAGCCAAAAAGAATCTGACAAGTAACATTCATCTCACAAATAACAACGAATAAAAAAAATAAAAAATATTTATAATCGAAAAAATATAAAACGCATATTATTACCCGGTTGTTATTTTCTTTTTTTTTTTTTTTCAATTTATTTGACTTTGGCTTATGTCAGAAAATAAATAAAAGTGGGATTTATAGTCAAAGTTAACCGACATGAAATGAATTTAAAGTTAAATTTCAATTACTTTATCATTTAACTTTCCCTTCTTCACGTCAAAAAGGAGAAACTTTCGCTTCTTGAATGCCAAGACAACCAAGCAAGATTCAGTGTACCCATTTGAAAATTTGGATCTATATTAATTTGTAGATTTTATTCCTTGTTTGATCTTTGTATATATTCACTCCTCTATATGCAATTCCCTTTCTTGAAACACTCTTCTCTTTTCTCAAATATGGTATTCCTCCATAGCCAATTGTTTCACTTTCCATAATTCTACCTTCTCAATGAGTTGGTCGGTCGGTGAGAGAAACTTAATAGATAAACAATTACACATCTCATAAAATAATTAATCCTTTGGCCAACCTTCATTCTCATTTTGGGTTTATTATCTTTTCTTGAATTGACCCTTGTGGAGACGTATTGCTGCGTGCCAACTTCCTCTAAGCCTAGGTACGTGAATTTGCATGTATACAAACAGTTCACTCATATTCACATGAGAGACACACCAGAATAAATATAATTAAACATTTTAGTGTTGATTTGCAGGTATATTTCTTCACTAGTATTTGATAAAATGCGTCCATCTACCTCAAGTGGATCAACTCTTGGTCAACAATGTGTTAACAATTATCGTCATCGTCACAATCCTGATAAGATAGCTAGACTTGAAGAGTAAGATCATTAATCATATTTTTTATAAAAGTTTTATTTTATTTTATTTATTTATTTAAGTATTATTATTATTATTGACATTATTAATTTTCTTTTTTATCTCTTAATTTCAATTGAGTCCTTTTTAGGGATGAACAAAAAAGATATTATTTATCTAAACTTAAATATAAGTTAAAAATAAAAAAAAATCTATGTATGATAGTTTAAATAAATAATTAATTTTATCCTATTTAGTTATACTATTTCTTCAAAAAAATTTCATTTAATTTATATTCTATTTTAATGATCCTTTTTTATTCTTAATACAAATTCCTTTAAAAGGTAGTTTAGGAAAAAGGCCCTGCTAAGGAGACATGAAAAAAAAAAAAAAATA